ACGAGTAATTTAGGTATAAGAGGAGCTATTCATTAAAGTTTTATTGAGGAAAATATTATTAAAATGCAGATGTGTGGGCTAGGGTTGCCTAGCACATGTGAAGTGCTAGGTTTGATCCTCAGCACCAAATAAAAATAAATTAATAAAATAAAGGTATTGTGTCCAACTACAACTAAAAAAAAAAACATTTTAAAAAGGCAGATTTGGAGCTGGGCATAGTGGCACATACCTGTAATCCCAGTGACTAGGGAGGATGAGGCAGGAAGGAACATCTCAAGTTTGAGGCTAACCTAGGCAATTTAGCAAGACCTTGTCTCAAAATAAAAACAGAAAGAGCTGGGATGTAGCTCAGTGGTGGAGCACCCCTGGGTTCAATCCTCAGTACCAAATAAATAATACAAAAAATACAGATTTGGGATACTCATTTTGTTTTAATGATAGCTTATATTTTTAAATCAATCAGTTGATTTTTAAATCAATCAGTTGAGTTATTCAAAATTCAAAAAGAAAATAATCTCCCTCTTAAACAAATGTTCATTTTTGTGGAGCAAAGAAAACTAGTTTTGTAGTGCTGCCATTGGGTTACATCCTCCCTCATAAAGCTAGTTATTCTCCACAGAATAAAAACTTTAATATTTATGATGAACTTTTATTCAGTTCACTCTTACTGGGCGCATTTTCCCTTCTTTCCCATGTTTAACTGTGTCATTTCTCAAGGGTACCATTGAAAGATTCTATTTAAGATGTACTGTGCTGGGAATTGTGCCCTGGTCTAACATATTATTGTGTCTTCCATAGCATTTGCCTTATTAGACCAGTGAGGAGAGAAATCCCTTCCCTATGGAGAAACAGGGTGTCCTTGGGGCAAACTGCATCATTAATCCCTCTTCACAAGATTTTGTTATGGTTGTAATAGACTAAAGAGAACATTTAGAACATCTAGAGAAAGGGGAAGAATCATCCAAGCAAAAACAAAGTGGTAGTTAGTGAAAGACCCACCCGGGGGGATTAGCATACATGGGAAAATGATGGGCTTGTAAGGAGATCAGTTCTCTTTAGGTTTGATGTGGCTGGTTCGTGTGTCTTCCTTGCCATCTTTTGGATCCCTACGTAACTTGGGATAGGCAGTCAGAATCTGGGAAGGACTGGAGGGATATGCCCCATGTGATTTGTCTGTGATGGCCACTAGAGATTTCACTCTTGCATTTTATTTTCATTGCTGATAAGTGCTTCAAGTTGGAATTGACAGCTTGCCGGTTTTAATACTGAGTATGATATTGTGTTGCCAAGAACAAGGTAGAGTCTCAAATTTTGAGCCATTGTGTGAGAGATAGTCAAATGAACATACTTTAGCAATATTAGGTCCCTAGGATACTAT